GACCTGGCAGGCCAGAAAGGGCTGGCAGGATATATTCAGGGTCCTAAATGAGAAGAACCTGCAACCAAGAATACTTTATCCAGCAAGGCTCTCATTCAGAATGGAAGGAGAGATAAAGAGCTTCCAAGACAGGCAGGAACTGAAAGAATATGTGACCTCCAAACCAGCTCTGCAAGAAATTTTAAGGGGGACTCTTAAAACTCCCCTTTAATAAGAAGTTCAGTGGAACAATCCACAAAAACAAGGACTAAATAGATATCATGATGACACTAAACTCATATCTGTCAATAGTAACTCTGAACGTGAATGGCCTTAATGACCCCATCAAAAGGCGCAGGGTTTCAGACTGGATAAAAAAGCAGGACCCATCTATTTGCTGTCTACAAGAGACTCATTTTAGACAGAAGGACACCTACAACCTGAAAATAAAAGGTTAGAGAACCATTTACCATTCAAATGGTTCTCAAAAAATACCCTAAAAACTATAGAACACTTCTGAAAGAAATTGAGGAAGACACAAAGAGATGGAAAAATATTCCATGCTCATGGATTGGCAGAATTAATATTGTGAAAATGTCAATGTTACCCAGGGCAATTTACACGTATAATGCAATCCCTATCAAAATACCATGGACTTTCTTCAGAGACTTAGAACAAATTATTTTAAGATTTGTGTGGAATCAGAAAAAACCCCAAACAGCCAGGGGAATTTTAAAAAAGAAAACCGTATCTGGGGGCATCACAATGCCAGATTTCAGGTTGTACTACAAAGCTGTGTTCATCAAGACAGTGTGGTACTGGCACAAAAACAGACATATAGATCAACGGAACAGAACAGAGAACCCAGAAGTGGACCCTGAACTTTATGGTCAACTAATATACGATAAAGGAGGAAAGACGATCCACTGGAAGAAAGACAGTCTCTTCAATAAATGGTGCTGGGAAAATTGGACATCCACATGCAGAAGAATGAAACTGGACCACTCTCTTGCACCATACACAAAGATAAACTCAAAATAGATGAAAGATCTAAATGTGAGACAAGATTCCATCAAAATCCCAGAGGAGAACTCAGGCAACACCCTTTTTGAACTTGGCCACAGTAACCGGAGAAGGACAAACAGTGTATGTTCTCATTCATTTGGGGAATATGAATAATAGTGAAAGGGAATATAAGGGAAGGGAGAAGAAATGTGTGAGAAATATCAGAAAGGGAGACAGAACATAAAGACTTCTAACTCTGGGAAATGAACTAGGGGTGGTGGAGGGGGAGGAGGGCGGGGGGTGGGGGTGAATGGGTGACGGGCACTGAGGGGGACACTTGACGGGATGAGCACTGGGTGTTATTCTGTATGTTGGTAAATTGAACACCAATAAAAATTAATTTATAAAAAAAAAAAAAAAAAAATCAAAAAAAAAAAAAAAAAAAAAAAAAAAAAAAAGATAACACTGGCACCATTTTTTTTTTTCTCCCAGAGATGGTGTTGACATAGCCACTAACTTTTTGGTGAAAATAGACCACATAGCAATGATTGAACCAACCCAGATGACACCATGATTTAAAAAAAAAATGCATCAACATGTTACTCCTTGAATAAACACTGGGAAATCCATTTTTCCTGTTTTTCTTGTTTTGCATCTGCAGTCTCATAGTCCTGTATGTAGTATAGTCTTATGCTAGCTAGATACAGAAACGGGAAGAGTGGGATGGGGAGAACATTACTAAGAATATTACCTTGTTTTTACTCTTGTTATTATCAACAACATTCCTATTTCCACAAAGCAAGCATTCAGAGGAATAGGAAATGACTTGACCCTAAACTGACTTTGGAAGTTTGTTCAGTCTGAACCAGCTTTAGCCTGAACGTTTTTGTTTACCTTCGGAACTAGCCATTGGAGAGCGCTGTGGGAGTATTTCACTAAGGCTAAATTCTTGAGTTCACCTACCTGTAATTAAAACTTTAAAGTGTCTTCTTCATTTGACGTCTTCCCGGCTGATCTGTATTCAAGGTATCGTGTGTGTGTGTGTGTGTGTGTGTGTGTGTGTGTGTGTGTTTTAAAGACTGTCACCAAAAGGGGAAAAAGGAAAAAAATAATAACAGAAGGAACTACTACAAAAAAAGTGCTTTTGGAAGCCTATTCCTCTTCAGATGACACCAGTGCTTAGAACTTTTGATTCAAATCTCTTCATTTCCTACAAATATTTTTTTTTCACTGTTCCAAATACGGAAGAGGTTCTGAATAGCAAAAGTGCTGTGCTTTTTAAAAACCTGCTGGACAACTTTTCATCTCTAGCAGTACTGAAGTTTTGCCATACCAGACTGTGTATGACAAACTGCAAAACATATGCATAAAAAATCTAGACTCTTCTATTGTGCCAATGCATGGCTAAAAACTTACTTCTGGAGCCACACAGCTGTTGAAATCAGTCATATTTACAATTTTTACAAATGAGTTTATTTTAATAAAAACAAGTTACTCTGTGAGCATGATCTCTAAACAGATTTATGTGGGCTGGCACAATCTGCTATGCTAAACATATATTCATATTGCTTGGGTCTGCAAGCAGGGTTCTTTTTTGTGTGTATGTGTGTGTGTGTGTGTTTTTGAGGGTGATAACAGTCTTGCTTTGTACAAGGATACCAAATAATTGGCAGCAATTCAGCCAAAGACACTGTTCTAAGCACTGTGCTGTTGAAGTTGTTTTCCTGGACAGAATTGCCCTGTGGGCATGGCCCTAAATTGGGAGGACTCTGGGCTGCTGGCATTGGGCAGTGAACCAGGCAGACAGCTTACAGTGAGAAGGAGGTGATTCTATAAAATGGTACTAAGAGGATGAGGAGGAGGAGAAAAAGAAAGGGAAGGAGGGATAGAAGAAGGGAAATGGAGAAAGGGAGAGGGTGAGATTTCTATTCATCAGTCCATACCCTTAAAGGGATCTCTTTTTGTATTCCGTCTTGGTCTCGTCTCACCTCTCCCTTTGACTGATGTTTTTATGCTCATGTTTTTCACTTGGTTACTCGACTGTAGCCTCCTTGAAGACAGAAATATTACCTGACTCAGCTTTGCATCTCCCACAGAGCCTGGTGGACGCTGGTGCTCAAAAACCTAGCTATTAAATGTATGAACAAAAGAATGCATTTCTGTAACTGAAGCATTTCCTTTCCACAGAAAGAAGTCCTAAGGGCACGGTACTGCCCCCTAGGGGGCGTCCTGAAAATTTATGGGGGCAGTTTTTGTTCAGTAGTTCTCGTATTGGGGCCAGAGTGTTTACACAGTGCAAAACATATTTTATTGTTTTCCTTGATATTAGTATAGTATTTTCGAACTTTCTCTTTTTCCACCTTTATAACATTACACTGGTTTATTTATTTTTTTTAAAGTTTTTTTTTTATAATTTTTATTTACTTAGGATAGTCACAGAGAGAGAGAGGCAGAGACATAGGCAGAGGGAGAAGCAGGCTCCATGCACCGGGAGCCCGATGTGGGATTCGATCCCGGGTCTCCAGGATCGCACCCTGGGCCAAAGGCAGGCGCCAAACCGCTGCGCCACCCAGGGATCCCTACACTGGTTTATTGAATTTATTTGGGTAGTTTACATTATCTGTGAATTTAACTCTAGGAGAGTGAAGTGGTATTACATTTATGTTGTAAATAACGGGGATGTTGAGTATGGTAGGGTTGAGTACCTCTGCTTATAAGATCATCAAGCTTTGCTTGCTTCTGCTTCCCCAAGTTCTAGGATTCTAAGACGAAACATACAAATAAAGAAGCTGGTGTACATTGATTTCAACAATCAGGCTTTCACTTTAAGCAACTGCACGTTTTAGGATTCATGTGGCTCAGGGAAGCATTGCTGTCAAAGCACAGAGGGTCCAGCGTCCAGGCTCATGAATCTGTGCAGAGCGGCTTGGAGAGTGAAACATTTCTCATCCCTTTGGTTTGCACGTTTCATAATTTTGAAAGTGATGGTGGAGGGGTGGTGAGGAGGGGCGGTGACGCCGTTCGGTTTTTCCCAAAGCCTGGGTGCTTGGCTGGCCCCCCTCTCTGCAGGACTAGTGCACATGGAAGCTGTCCGGGTTTGAAGAGCTCGGCTGGAAAAGGAAGCCTTTCGGCAGAGCGGCTCGTAAGAGGGGAAAGGAGGGTTCCAGGGGAGCAAAGGGTGGCTCCGTCTTCAACGACAGTTGGAAGTGAGGCTGAACTGAACTTTCGGTGTCAGCGGGTGGAGCTGCGGTTTGTGGTGGAGTGGGGACCCGGAGGCGAGAAGAGGCGGGGCGGAGGGTGACAGAAGGTGGGGCTTCGGGCTGGGATCCAGACCGGCCTCGGCCAGGCGGGGCTTCTTTTTGACAGTGGGCGGGGATTCCGATGAAGGGGCGGGGCTTGGGCGGAGGGCCCCCGGGAGACGGGGCTTACGCTGACAAGGGGCGTTTCTTGAGGTCCGGCGGTGACAGTAGCAGGGCGGAGCGCCCAGAGGGCAGGCCCACAAGTGACAGGAGGAGGGAACCGACCCGAGTTAAGACGAGGCTTCTGATAGCGCAAGGGGCGGGGCCGCTCCGCGATCCGGAGAGGGCGGGCCTTCTGCTGACAGGGGGCGGGGCCGCTCCGCGATCCGGAGAGGGCGGGCCTTCTGCTGACAGGGGGCGGGGCCACCGCGGGCAAGGGGCGGGGCCGCTCCGCGCTCCGGAGAAGGCGGGTCTCCTGCTGACAGGGGGCGGGGCCAGCGCGGGCAAGGGGCGGGGCTTCTGTTGACAGAGGGGCGGGGCGGCGCCCTACCTCCCAGTGCGCCAATCCTGAGGGTAGAGGCCGGGGTCGGACCCCAGGGGAGCCGCGGGGTCCGGGAGCCGAGAGCCCGGCGCGGAGCGGGGTGGGGGCGCGCGGGGACGGCGTGCGCGCGGGAGGGCCCCGCCTCGGCCGGCTGCTTCCCTCCCTCCCCGCCCCGGTCGGCCGCCGGGGCGCGCGCCTCGCCTCGCCCCCCCACCCCCCGACCCTCCGCGCTCCGCGGGGCCCGCCGAGCTGCCGAGGCCGTGTGCCGGCCCGCGGAGCGGTTCCGGGTGTAGGGTTCACAGGTCAGAGTTGACTCCCTGAAAAGTGCAGCCGGTTTGAAATGCAAGATGGCGGCGGCGGGGCGCTGAGAGGCGCGGCGGCCCCTGCAGGTAGCGGCGCGAGCGGGCTCCGGGACGAGCGGGCCGGGACGCCCGGGGGGCCGCGGGGGGGGGCGCGGGGAACCGGCAGCGTGGGCCGGCCGGGGGAAGGCGGCTCCGGGGCAGGGACCCCGGGGGCTCCGCGCGCCGGCGGCGGCGGCGGCGGCGGCTGGCGAGGAGGACGCGGCGCGGGGCGCCCGAGGGGGAGGGACCCCGCCTGCCTGCCGGCCTCGGGGAGTCGCCGCCGAGGGACGGCCCCTGAGGTTCCCTCGCGCCCTCGGGGTGTCTGCGGCCGTGGAGGGAGCTGGCGGGGGGCTCTGGGAGGAGTCCTGTCAGCCCCGGTTCTTACGGGAGCACCGCGCAACTTGGGACTGGAGCGGAGTGAAGACGCGGCCGCCGGGGCGGGGGGGGGCGCCGCGGGGCGCGGGGAGGGTCCTGGCGGAGGTCGGGAGGCCCGCCCCGCGGGGGCGCGCGCCGGCTGGTGGGTGCTGCCCGCGGGGCGGCGAGCAGAGCCCCCCTTGCGGAGCTGAGCGAGTGCAGTCGGCGTCGGAGCCCCCGGGCAACGCGCCGCGGGAGGGCTGCCCCCCGCTTGACGGAAGGCTCGGCGCCCATCTCGCGGCCAGGCGGTGCCCGCCCCTGGGGGCCAAGACTCGGAGTCGAGTCCCGACGAGCTCTCTTCCGCTTAGAGGCAGACTGGCACTCCGAAGTTCATTCAAGAGAATGGAGGCGGCCCCCGTCCCCTTGCAGGAGGGAGACGAGGGAGGCCCCACCGGGCACTCGCCCGAGCCTCGGGGCCTAACGGGAACAGCCTCGCAGTCTCAGCGAGGGAGGAAGGGCTGCGGAGGGGGTGCGAGGGGGCAAGGCGCGGGGGCTGAGGGCACGAGGAGCCCTGGCGGATGATGCCCTTCCCCTGGGGTTTACCCTGAAGTTGTGGGTAGAGGGACTTGGAATTCTTTGTTCCGTGCACCTCCCTCCACCTCTCCCCCCTGTAGGTAACAGTAAGGAGAGAGCAGAACCCCCACTGGAAGAGAAGGCTCCGTTGGATATCCTAAGTTTAGGTCATAGCGCTGAGCGGAGCGGCCAGCTGTGACCCCGCTCCGGGAGAGACTGGGGGCGGGGGTCGAGGAGTGCGGTGCAGAGCTGGGCACAGTGCGGATCCTACCGCGCTGTTCTGTCGTCACCCCCCCCCCCCACCCCGAGCTGAAAACAGAAGGAGCTCATCTTTAAGGGGCGGGGGGGGGGGTGTAAAAAAAAAAGGCTGATAGTCTGTAATGTGATTAGGTGGGGATTGCATGTAACTTGAAAAAGCAATTCTCTTGGAGGTTGAGAATATAACAGAAAAGGGAGGAAAATCACAGGATTGGGAAATAGAGTTCACAGGGAGGAAGCAGCAGCTTTCCCTCCAGGACTAGTGCCTATTCGTGGGTTTGGAGTGTGTGTGTGTGTGTGTGTGTGTGTGTGTGTGTGTGTGTGTGCGCGCGCGTGCCCGTGTGCGCGCCTTCCCTACGGTAGTGCACCTTTAGACTTGTTGGTGTTGGTCATTGCATCTCAGTCTTTGTCTTAAAGCTTTAACTTGTCTTACACGGTGTTAACGTGGATTGTCCTTGTTTCTGAGAAATTATCTCCCCAAAAGTCGTTATGTTTTTATGCCATCAGTGAGGATGAACGGGAGTTGGTTTTCACACGGCCTTAGTATATCCATAGAGTTTAAACAATGTTCTTAAGGAGCAATTCTGACTCTTGATTCCAGGCAAAAGAAATGTGGGTGCTGCCAAAGACAATAATGCATAACAGGATGTAAAAGGGCCCTCATGAATATTTTTTCCTCCTAATCTGTCTCTCCTTACTCCAAGCATTTTAGGGCGAAGCTAACTAATTTTACACAAAGTAAAATGTAAAGTGTTGGGTTCGTTCAATATAGAAATGATAGCATTTCACTTACCAGTGAAGTGAGTCTTTTGTAGAAGTACCTCTTCAAATGCTTTATGTAATGATCAGGATTAAAATGAGAAAAAAATCAAGTAAGATTTGGGTACCTGATGACAGCTATGATTCATACAGATTTCTTGAACCATTCTAGTATTTTTAAAAGAGCTTTAATGTCTTTCATAGAAATGTCTTCTCAAACACATTTCAAGTGTAAACTAGTTGAGAGCTGCACATTTAGAGCATTATTATACAATGTGAGCTATTCTTTGGTTTCCCCAAAGTGCACGTAGCTCTAGTTTTTGTATTCAATTCTGAACAGATTAGGCTGGATGAACCAGAGTAGCATTGATGCCAGATGGTTTGAAAATATGCTAAGGCTGAAAACATAAATGTGCTTGTGCTGTGCTTGTACTCATTAATAGTAGATGTCTTTCCCTTATAGCGAGCTTATTATTTCACTGGATTTGGAGGACAGTTCGTGAATGATGTAGCAATTATTTCACCTTTGGTGATACTTGCAAGGTTTTTAAAAATAAATATGAATAAAGTTTAACAGTTATTTTATTAGTGACCTTAACAGCATAGGTGAGGTGCTTCATGTTGAAGATTTTCTCCCTTTTATAACTTACATTAAGATTTAAAAGTGATACTTTAATGTATTTATATTTTCTTTCTTATACTGTTAATTGGGCACAAAAATGGGTTATTTGAGACTTAATTTGCTGTGAATCATGGCTTTATATTTAAGTAGAATTACTCTTAACATTACTAAAATGATTACAAATGTAGCTGAGGAAATAACCTTTTTATATACATTGCATCATTGTGGATGTGGGCTCAAGAGACTCTACTTATTTGAACATTAGCAGTGTTAAAACTTCAGTGCCTAAGCTAGGTTTTAATTTAATATCATATTCATTAATGTAGGGAGGTGTTTGGAAATATCTGTTGCACTATAGCCAGTGTAACACATCCACTTTTACATCTAAATTTCTTCTGAACTAAAATCCTTCCAAATCATCCTATGTAATCTCAAAGGTAATTTAAACTACATTTAATTAAGGGGGGGGGAAAGCTGTGATGCTAGCCTTTGAATAATAGCCAATGCTTCTATAATATTACTGATCTATCTTATTGTCTCCTGTTGCTCTGATATATTTGTGGTTGTGAGTAAACAAATTTGAATGGCTGAAGCTGCTAATTTAGATTACTAATCAAGATACATTTGAATTTACATTTTGGGGAACTGTATTTCATACAGTTAATTTTTAAGTAAATGTTTATGTAAATTTTTATATAGTTGCCAAGTTTGGGTCTTAAGGGGTACATAATCTTTGCAAATTATATAATCCATATTCTATGGTGTATTCAAGAGGTATTAAGATGGTCTTTAATCCCTTTGATTGAAGCAAATATGATGATATACTTTGGAAAAAAAAGTGGTTTTTTTTAAAAGATTTTGTTTATTTATTCATGAGAGACACAGAGAGAGGCATAGGCAGAGAGAGAAGCAGGCTCCATGCAAGGACCCTGATGTGGGACCTGGGATCACACCCTGAGCCAAAGGCAGACGCTCAACTACTAAGCCACCCAGGTGTCCCAGAAAATAAGTTTTTATGAGTAGGTTAAGAATGACATTTATTCAAGACAGTCAAAATTTTTTACTTTTTTTTTTAAGTAGCCTCCATACTCAGCGTGGAGCCCAACATGGGGGCTTGAAGTCACAACCCGAGATCAAGACCTGAGCCAAGACCAAGTGTCACTCAACCAACTGAGTCACCCAGATACCCAAAGCTGTCAAAATTTTTATGCAGGATTTTTGTTTTGAGTTTTTAGATTTAGATTTTTTAAAAATAATCTTCTCAAAGCCTATCTAAAAAAATCATTGAAGTAGGAACCATATACATATTATTTTTAAACAAAAGAACTTTGTCATTAAATCTTAGTGATTTCATATTTCCCATAGGATTTCTGACTCCCCTTTTCCTCCTTCCTGATGGTCTTTCTGGTTTTTTTTTTGGGGGGGGAGGTTATTGTGAGGAATGAAAGGAGATAGAAATTCTGATTTTTATATTTCTAAGCAATTCACTCAATAATTATGTTTTTCTTCTATACAAAATCTATTCCCTTTTAACTTCTAATATTGTCAAAAAGAAGTTTGTTAAAACTTTGCTGGACATGGGCTCTATTTGAAAGTGAGGGAATGGTAATTGCACTACTGAGTATTTACCCCAAGATACCGATGTAGTGAAATGCTGGGACACCTGCACCCCAATGTTCATAGCAGCAGTGTCCACAATAGCCAAACTATGGAAGGAGCCATGATGTCTTTCGACAGATGAATCAATAAAGAAGATGTGGTATATATACAATGGAATGTTACTCAGCCATCAGGAAGGATGAATACCCACCATTTGCTTCAGCATAGATGAACTAGAGGGTATTAGGCTGAGTGAAATAAGTCAGTTGGGGAAGGACAATCATCATAGGGTTTCACTCATACGTGGAATATAAGAAATAGTGAAAGGGATTATAAGAGAAAGGAGGGAAATTGAGTGGGGATAAGTCAGAGAGGGAGACAAACCATGAGAGACTCCTAACTCTGGGAAACAAAGGGTTGTGGAAGGGGTGCTGGGTGGGGAGATGGGGTAACTGGGTGACAGGCACTGAGGATGGCACTTGATGGGATGAACACTGGGTGTTATACTATATGTTGGCAAATTGAATTTAAACAAAAAAAAATTTTTAAGTGAGGGTATGGTGAGGAGGGAACAATTTTTCTTCATAATACAACAGGATGATTTGTATCAGAGCTTTGTTAGTTCTATGAAACACATTTTAAAATGTGTTACGCATTAATGATTCTCCTTGAAGCTAAGGTCAGAGAAAGTATGTGTATGTTGGGGTGGGGGGTGTAAATTATGATTGCTTAATGCCTACCTGTTAAAGCCAACTTGTTCTAGCATTGCTTAATATGCTCAAAAGTATGAAGTGGAAAATAAAATTTATTGATTGTTGCCCAGACCTTTAAAATATTTTATAATGTCTCAACATTTAGCAAAGTTTATGTGAAGACTTCCTCTGTTGTATAACTTAAAGTTAATACCTTAAATAAAAGTCAGAAAAATCTAGTTGTGGGGACACCCGGGTGGCTCAGCAGTTGAGTGTCTGCCTTTGGCTCAGGGTGTTAACCCAAGGGTCTGGGATCAAGTCCTGCATCCGGATCTTTGCAGGGAGCCTGCTTCTCCCTCTGCCTATGTCTCTGTCTCTCTCTCTGTGCCTACCATGAGTAAATAAATAAAATATATTTTTTTAAATTTTTATTTATTTATGATAGTCACAGAGAGAGAGAGAGAGAGGCAGAGACATAGGCAGAGGGAGAAGCAGGCTCCATGCACTGGGAGCCCGACGTGGGATTCGATCCTGGGTCTCCAGGATCACGCCCCGGGCCAAAGGCAGGCGCAATAAACCACTGCGCCACCCAGGGATCCCTAAATAAAATATTTTTAAAAAGAAAAATCTAATTGTGGACTTACTAAGTCTACAAGCTTTACATGGGTTATTTTAAACACATGTTATTAGAGCCCCACTTGAGATGAGGGGGCAATAACATAAGCTAAGTCACTTGTTTAAGACCATCCAGCTAATAAGTGACAGAGCTGAGATTTGAACCCATGCAGTCTTGGTTCCAAAGCCAAAGGTCTTCATCTTTATTTACAGTCCCATCTTCTGCCAAAACAACTCCTCTGTTTTACTATATAATGTATATAGCTGAGATGATTTCTGTAATTTTTGAAGTTCATTCTAATATTAAAATCTTAAAAGATACTTTGAGTTAGAAGTATTTAAAAATAACCCCAGTGTCAAGAGCTAAAATAACATCGGGCAAGTATACTTTTCATCCAGAAGTATCAAGGAGCAGCTTTGTTGCTCTTCTAGTTGCCTTGTGCCCTTGCAATGTCTCAGCAGCTCTTCTCAAGAGACTCTCGTTCGGTAAAATGTCTTGCAATTACTGTGTGATTCAAGAATGGATTCAAATAGGTTACCAATTTCCTATAATATTAATAATTCATTTTGGAAAATAACTTCCCCTCTTTGGCAGCTGTTTCCTATCTTCTCTTCTAGTCCACATCCTGTGGATGGATAGCTAAGGAGCTTCCAAACAAGGAGATACCAGGAAATGAAACTGTAGAATCCCAGGCTGCAGAGAGCAGGATGCTCTTCTGGGCCTACCAGGAAAATGCTCTTTTGCTTTTCATGAAAATAGTGTAACTATTCAGCCTAAGCTTTAACTTAATCTAGAAGTATCTTACTAAAGGGTTGGTGTATTTACTTTATTTCTTAAGAGCCTCTTCATGAACATGTATATAATAAAAGAATCAGGGGATCCTTGGGTGGCTCAGCGGTTTAGCGCCTGCCTTTGGCCCAGGGCGCGATCCTGGAGTCCCGGGATCGAGTCCCACGTCGGGCTCCCGGCATGGAGCCTGCTTCTCCCTCCTCCTGTGTCTCTGCCTCTCTCTCTATCTCTATGTCTATCATAAATAAATAAATAAATCTATAAAAAAAAAGAATCAAAGGATAAGGTATTTGGAAGAAATCATCTTCCTTAATATTTATTCGCTTGGTTTATAGAGTTTCAGTGCTTAAAGAACAACAGCTAAAATGCTTTGACCCTTCATAAGTGCCATTTACTATTATTTATTAAGAGAAGCAGTTACAGTTTTTGTTACGTTTTCCTGATTGGGTTAAATACTCTGAATAATATGTCCCAAGAATTTTGGACACATATCTCAATTTTTGGTAAATGATCTTCAGTTCGATTGTATGGTCTAATGCTTACAACACACGGATTGAAAAGCCATCTGGTAGTAGTTTCTTGTAAAAATGAAATAAACACAGGTCATTCTACTAGATAATACATGCTTTGGGGTAGAGTACCGCTAGTTAAGTTATATTGTCTTGTTGCCAGGATTAATAACCACTGCATTCCAATTAATGCATTGTAAATAGGATACAGATATCAGTGGGTTTATGTGTAAGCATACAAACATACACTTTCTCCCACCTCTTAGTTTAACTAAATTATCTTTCATAACTTTTGTTATGGGTCTAATATTTTACAGTTCCCAACTTCTTCATCTCTCCTTTTATATTACAGCCTGCATATATCCATCCACATTTTGGAAATTTTTATTGAAAATAACATAATAGTGAAAATAGTATCTGGTTGTTTTATATAATATAAATCCAGTTTTGGGGAATGTTTTAAATTTTGTGTTTCTTAGTAATATTGGGTTTGACAGTTAAATGCTTCCTTTACAATTTCTATGAGGAAATTAAATTTTTTTCCAAAATTACATTTATTTTAAAAAATCAAGGCATAAACTTTAAAGTCCTAAGACCGTATTATATCTAGGATAATAAGGTGATATTATTATTAATTTTTTTTAGGAAATGGCAGATAGGTACTTCAGACCTGTTGGTAATGATGGCCTGAGCTAAACACCTAATTTGAAGGGACACCCTCCGTGTCAAAGAACAGAATGCTGAAGAAGCTATGGCAAGTATGTATTTCATTGTTGAGTATGATAAAACTCAAATTCTGAATATGTTCACTTTAGATCCCATGATACTATATTTGGCTAACCTCTTAAAAGCTTTCCGTAAAAAAGCAGCAGACTTAGTCTTGATACTGTTAAGAAATGCGCTTTCAAACTTTAAAAATATAGGAGTACTGGCTGCTTTAATTTCAAAGGAAACAGCATCACAGTTCATGATAAATCTATGTGGTATATTAATCATTGATTTTTCAATTAATATTTGTTGAAATACACTGTCAGACACTATATTCAGTGCTGTGGTAACAGTGGTAAACAAGACAAATGAAGATCATGAGGGCAGATAACTTTAGTGTGGGAAAATTGATCTAGAAATTTTACTGTTTTTTTGCCTATATCCAGAAAAATTCTTCAAGACTTCAGAGAACAATTCCTGAAAATATATTTCCAGTATATAGTCTACTAATAATAATTATAATTCTAAAAGTTAAGATATTGGTGATTAAGTACTTAGTTTTAGGTTAAGCATGCCAGTATTTAAATATCTGAATATATTTGTACCTAATTACTTTTATATTTTATTTAACTGACATAAATTGGCTTTCATAAGAAGCATTAGATCACATACTGTAGTGTTGAAATATTTACACTTTAGTCCTATTGTTATTTTAGATAATTCTAGAAAGTACCAAGAAGGATTTTTTAAAGATTTATTTATGTATTTTATTTATATATTTTTTAATTTTATTTATTTATTCATGAGATACACACAGAGAGAAAGAAGCAGAGACACAGGCAGAGGGAGAAGCAGGCTCCATGCAGGGAGCCTGACGTGGGACTCTAATCCGGGACTGCAGGATCCCACCCTGGGCCAAAGGCAGGAGCTAAACCACTGAGCCACCCAGGAATGGAATTTATGTTATTTTAGAGAGAGAGAGAGAGTGTAGGCGCATGGGTACACACAGAGGGAGATAATCTTCAAGCGGACTCCCAGCTGAGTATGGAGCCCAAACTGGGGCTTGATCCCATCACTCTGAGATCGTGACCTGAGCCGAAACCAAAAGTTGAACGCTTAACTGCCTGAGCTACCCAGGCACCCCAGATTCTCTAGCTATTAATGTGGTGGTTCAACTTTCATTTTTAAAAAATTGTTAAGAGTCCTTACAAGTTGACATTACCAATACTAATTACTATTATGTTTCAAAGTATTTTTTATAATTGAATGATTATATTCTGAGTAAAATATGTAAGTTATTTTATTTTATAAATGGGGACGATAATAGACAGATGAATGGTTTTTCAGCCTCTCAATGATAATATCACTTACAGTCAAGAATAGCATTCTTGTGTTAGACTGTCTGTGAAAGATTTAATGTACCTTCTTGGAAAAAGTTAGGGAAAACTTTTTCCAGCAAAAAAAAATTACTTTGGGGCAATACTATAAACTTTAATAACAAAAATAGTGGATTTCATTTTAGTACTTATTTATGTATCACTCTCAATATGTTACTTACCTACCTACATGCCAGCAGAAGATAGAAAACCAGGATAGTGGTTAGTGTTGTAGAAGCCTTACAAAAAGACATTTCACTCCTCAAATCTGGGGTCAGTGCTTGCCAGGAGAAATCTGTCCAGCTTAGATTCTTCTTTTAATCTTTAACAGTATTAAGGTTGGCTTTTTCAGGTAGAAAAATATAGGTAGAGAGGATAGAATTTCTAAACCATTAAGCCTTAGTTTAGTATTAGCAAAGGGACCTGAAATTAGATGATTTTTGGCCAAAGTTTCTTCGGTGCTTCTATTTTTAGCACATTTACTTCTGTCTGTATTCACCTTCATACTTGAATTTTGATCATCTTGAGACCATTTTGGCAATTTTCTTGAGATTTATCTTTTAGGTAATAATTCTTAAAAACCTATGCTGTGGGTACAAATTTGGGTTATCAAATTTCTTATTTAATTTTTTTTTAGGAAATTAGCCATTGTTTCTAAATATTTTTACATTTTGGCTTTGAAAAGTGCCTGAAGTGTATACAGGCCAAAATGGGTTTGCTTTCTTTAAGTAAAGAAGGTATCTTCTTGGACACCTTTTTCTTTAACATGATGGATATTCTGTGTTTTAATTTGACCCCATTATTCTTTATTCCTATTATTATTCCGGGCATTCTGTGATTTTGGTGGATTTGTAACTTTTAATTTGAATATAAACATGCAAAAATAAGTATTTTCAATTGGCTAAACAGAACTCTGACTCAGAGAATAAGAAATGAAACTAAATAAAATACAGAATTCTCAGTATAGGTCTGAATACATATCCCAAAGGATTTATCAGTTTATATTTTAGCTACCTTGAGAACAATTTTAGCTAGTACCAGATCAAAACTAACATAATCCTTAAAAATTATAATTATTTTATAAGTGTTCGTATTTGATTAAGAATTGGTATGAAAGTTGTTTTTATTCACATAAAATCTTACCAAAATAATATGCTTTTGTGGCTAACGAGGCGAGTAAATTATTGTCTGTTAATCATTTAATTTGAAGTATAAGACAGACAAAAAAATAGAGGCATGGAAATTCAGTATAATCACAAGTCTGCTTAACCATAAAAAATTTTAGACTTTTTGTAGCACTAAGCATAGAATTTGAAACAATCTTACTATTTATAATGTATTAATTGATAACTTATTTTTTAATCTCTTTAAAAATGTACAACACCATTAAAGTATAGTTTTCTCCAGGAACAGAAAAATAATGATTCTAAGTTCAGATTTACATTTGCTATTTTTACAGGAACATTTTTCTCCTGAATTTGACTGCAGGACTAATTCTGTGAATGACTTTATTTCCCTTGTTTCATTCTTATGCGGTCCACAAATTTAGACATGTACTACTCATACATAAAACTGATTTGTTACAACAGAATTATAGATGATAGTAAATATTTGTTGAATATTCATTGCTATATTTTAATAAATAGAATGTTTTATATAGGAAGATGTTTTAATATTCTAATGACTAAGGTAATTTTATTAGTAAGGATTTCACCATTGGAAGTAATTTACTATATATTAAGCACAGTTGTTCTTTATAACTCCTCTGTAAAAGAGTGTTTAATGAAGTAAAAATGTTATAATACATGATACCGATATATTATAAAAGGTTTTTTTTCCAACAAATATTATTGAGGCCTTAATAGGCAATGTGCTGGGCTCTTGGAATATACAGTGGAGAGCTAGGTAGACATTCTTTCTGACTATATAAGAACTGCTGTTGGAACTGTCCCTGATAAAATGAATTTTGCTTTCATTAAATGCTCTTCTGTAGAGAAACTTTGTTGAAATTATTTTGATGAGTTTAGAATCATGAATTGTTTAAGAAGTATCTTACCCTCAGAAGAAGAGCTAGGATGCAGATGGAACCATGGAAATTGACTTGACCTAGATGCATATACCGCACATTCTGAGTGCTCCTGAGGGTTCTTAGAACTAGTTTGACTTCTCAGACCGTGGAGCAGGTCCCCAAAGTGTGTGGAATATACTCGAATGCTATACATACTCAGAGATTTCTGCTTCTCCTGAAAAAAAACCTTTATGTAGCACATGTTTTTGCCCTAAAAATAGAAAGTAAACTTTGTTTCCAGCTCCAGATAAATGACCATCAGAATATTCTAGTCTATTTGCAATTTTAAGGCCTTGAAATTGTTTGTTGTATTTTATAATAAAGCAATGTTATAATAAAGAAAATTTGTAAATAGCACACATAAAAATTTCACCCATAGTCTCATGTGAAAATTTAATTTCTTTATATTCTCATCTAGTTTTTGCCCATATGCATATTTTCCCAGTTATTTTATAATTAATATGCAAATTTTGTTATGATTTTTTGTTATGATTCTATAAAAAGTTTAGCAGTAAAAGTGGATAAATATTTTTTCATATTCCTACACTTGATCTTAGTCAAAGGCTGAGAGGCGATTTTTTTTATATTCCTTAATTACTCTTGATTACATTTTATATTTTTGTTTTATTTATTTATTTATTTATTTATTTATTTATTTATTTATTTATTTATTTATGATAGTCACAGAGAGAGAGAGAGAGAGAGAGAGAGAGAGAGAGAGAGAGAGAGGCAGAGACACAGGCAGAGGGAGAAGCAGGCTCCATGCACTGGGAGCCCGATGTGGGATTCGATCCCGGGTCTCCAGGATCGCGCCCTGGGCCAAAGGCAGGCGCCAAACCGCTGCGCCACCCAGGGATCCCTTGATTACATTTTAAAATAATCATATAATAGGGGGATCCCTGGGTGGCGCAGCGGTTTGGCACCTGCCTTTGGCCCAGGGCGCGATCCTGGAGTTCCAGGATCGAGTCCCACATCAGGCTCCTGGCATGGAGCCTGCTCTTCCCTCTGCCTGTGTCTCTGCCTCTCTCTCTCTCTGTGTCTATCATGAATAAATAAATAAATCTAAAAAAAAAAATCATATAATAGTTGATCAGGTTGGGGGTTTTTTGTTACATTTTTACCATTTTTCTACTGAAAAGTTACCTGAAAATAGGTTTCAAATATATTTACAGTGCTATATGCATTGAGAGTATAATTTTTTTATCTTTTTGGCAGTCTTCACTTTGTGTTTTAATTGCAAAGCCACCTAGCTATCTACTCAGTTGTGCAACTGAACTCTACCCCCTTTTTACAGGTAAATAGTGCAAGGTTCCCCTAATTGATTTTGAGCTGTTTTTTGTTGACCTTCACCTGTCAGCTAATAGTGATTTCTGTATGGCAATTTTCGTGTCTCAGCCCCGTTGCACTTTAATGATAAAAGGAGATAAATTGGAACCACACCAAAAAAATTCTTATTCTTTTTATCCTTTCTCCTTTTTCATTCAGTTTGTGTCAGCTGATTAAATTGTAAGAGATAGAAAGAGAGAGAGAGAGGACAATACTAAATAAATGGTACTTCTTCATCCCCAAAAGAATTTTTAGAGACTGGAAAATAGCATTAATTGGGCACCGACTATGTTTTACTGTGTGTGAAGCATTTTATTTGATAGGCCTCTGATGTGGATAGCACCATTCTTATTTTTTCCAGAGCAGCCTTTCTGTTTCCTTTCTAGAAGCCTCCTACAGTGTGCTCATAGAGTTCCTGATGTTTCCTCTCTCATTGCATTGATCACAGCTATTTTAAGTGATTGTTTACTACCTGTTTTTCTTGCTCAACTGCTAGTACTGAGGGACCTGAGGCAATCTATCATGGTCATTGCCTTACTATAGTGCCTAACACAGTGCTTGGCTCATGGTTGACATCCAACAAATAGTTGAATGAATTTGTTGAATTGAAGAATCTTGGTTTTATAGATAAGAAAACTGAGGTTGATTCTGAGTAACTTTTCCAGGCACCGAACCACTGAGTAACAGAGCAGACTCTAGAACCTGTGGTTTTATCCTATATCACAGCTCCTCTGTGAATGTGTTCCTCTGGGCCTGAGTTTCTTCTGTCATGAAAATGGGGTATTTGTACTGAGTTCCCTGCTTCCCCCCAAATTATGACTTTATGTAATCAGGACCCCGAGGATCTCTTTGTTTGTGCTTTGGTCTATTTTTGAGCTATATACATTATAGTAGACTAGAGCCATTAGACCAAATCTTGAGGTTTTTTGGGAATTCTCAGTCACCCTTAGAAATAATACTAAACAATATAGTGACTCTGGTTTTGTTGGGAAAATGTAAACAGTATCAGGAATAAAGTGGGGAGTATTTCTTGGATCTGTGTATTTGGGTATAAAAGTCACCTGAGTTGGAGGCCATCTTTAATACCTGAGATAATCAGATTTGAGTCTTTTGCATTACTGAAGATTTTTTTTAAAGCTTCTCTTTTAAGTAGCTTAAGTTTATATTGCCCAAACCAGTGCTTTCAACAGAAAACACACAATAGTGCATATACATCATTAGATTGTAAAATAATCTATGAATATTTTGTAATTTTTTATGGCTTTAGCAAAAAATATTTAAGACTTTAAAATTGGGGCAGCCCGGGGGACTCAGTGGTTTAGTGCTGCCTTCAGCCCAGGGCCTGATCCTGGAGACCGAGGATCGAGTCCCACGTCAGGCTTCCTGCATGGAGCCTGTTTCTCCCTCTGCCTGTGTCCCTGCCTCTCTCTCCCTCTCTCTCTCTCTCTCTCTCTCTCTCTGTGTGTGTGTGTGTGTGTGTGTGAATTTAGCAAATTCCTATTTTTAAGCTAGATAAAATGAAAAGTAAGCAGCTTAACCTAAGACCTAGAGAGCCAGATCAATAAAGGGACCTTAGGTCCTCAAGTTTCTCTTTTGTATCTCTTAGTAGTACTGGCAACTCTGTTCTACCCTGAGTGCCCAAGCCCTGCCTTCCACAGTGAAACAAGCTGAAGGACACATTAAATTTACTTTAGATTAGTTTTCAAATTTCATGGCTCAGCAGTTAAGCTGCAAAGGATTTTTAGTGACACTGATAGATACATTGTCTTGAAAGTATTTAAGTTTTTTAAAGCACAGGCTTTCAAACACATCTCAGAACCCGTTGGAGATGGAGGTAGGGTTTGTGGGATCCATGGGATGGAGTCAGGAAGTAGTTTAGCCTTTCCTTCTTCAACCAGACAGCTGTTCTTTTATCTGTTTTGCCCCAAGGCTTCTCATAGAATTTTGTTTGAAGAAAGGGCTCCCCTACTTACAACAAAAAGTTTGAAAACCATCACTAAGGAAAGGTAGTTTCAAAAAAACCTTCTATCTTTGATTTTTAACTATTAGTATACTCCCAATGATATAATCTAAGATTCTAGGAGAATAACAGTTACAAAATAACTTACTCCCTGCCTTTCAACAATTCTCCCTCACTGCCAAAAATATGAGTACTGCTCATTTGTTACTCATCCACTTACTTCAGGCTATTTGAGGAATTCCCTGTTCCTAATAACCAAAAAATGATCAAACAGCTATACTAGCACTTGAACAAAATAGTTCAAATCCTACTGAAATGACTAGGAGAGATGGCATTAGCCTAGCATAAAATATTCAGTTAAGAAATAGTTTTAAATATCAGTGATTTCTTTATATTACCTTAGAAATCAGAGGCTTTTTCCTGGGTGGGGGTGGGGAATGACACCTTTGAGAATCGAATACTATTATTATTAAGTGGATGCTTTTTATTTTATGATATGGGAAATTGGGGAATGAAAGACATTTAGGCCAACTTTCCTTCTGTTGCTTGGATACATCAAATAGATATGTAGTATATATTTGAATAATCCCAGTGAAGAGGATCTTCCTACCTTCAAATCAAAGGCAAGGCATTCTCTCTTTGGACAGTTCTGTTTCCTAAAGATGTTTCTGCTTTTCCTGAGTCAATATATCTCCTCATACACCCTGGGTTTTGCTTTATAATCTTTGAAGTAAACTTTATCTCCTCAGTTCAGTGAGAATAAGGATCAGACTAACAAATGAAAATAGTTCTAATTTGGAGTAGAGAGTAAGGGAGACCACTTAACTCATTCATTTTTCTTTGGTTTAGACTTCAAAGCACATTACCTTTCATTGTTGTAGCATAAAAATTTTAAGTATTTGGATACAAAATTACTAAAATGTATTTGTATAAACATAATTCACTTTTTCTTGATAAATCACAATCATTCTTGTGAATTTCTGCTGCTGTTCTCTGTGGTGATGTTCTCAGGGCATGTTGAGTTTCTTTTATTTTTTATTTCAATTTCTTATTTCAATAGTGAACATATATGCTAATATTAGTTTCAGGTGTAGAATTTAGTGATTCATCACTTAAATACAAAACCCAGTGCTTGGACGCCTGGGTGGCTAAGGGGTTGGGCATCTGCCTTCAGCTCAGGGTATGATCCCAGGATACAGGATGGAGTGCTGCATCAGCTCCCTGCAGGGAGCTGCTTCTCCCTGTGCCTGTGTTTCTGCCTCTCCCTCTGTGTATTTTATGAATGAATAAATAAGTCTTTAAAAACAAAAAACAGGGGCAGCCCGGGTGGCTCAGTGGTTTAGCGCCACCTTCAGCCCAGGGCGTGATCCTGGAGACCTGGAATCGAGTTATGTGTAGGGCTCCCTGCATGGAGCCTGCTTCTCCCTCGGCCTGTTTCTCTGCCTCTCTCTCTCTCTCTGTCGCTCATGAATAAATAAATGAAATATTTAAAAAAAATAAAAACAAAAAAACAGTGCTTGTCACAAGTGCCCTCCTTAATCCCCATCACCCATTCAGCCCATCCTACACACACCTCCCTCCATCAGCCCTTAGTTTGTTCTCTGTTGTTAAGAGTTTCTTATGGTTTGTTACCCCTCTTTTCCCCCTTCCCTTATGTTCATCTGTTTTGTTTTTTAAATTCCACATATGAGTGAAATCATATGGTATTTGTCTTTCTCTGGGACTTATTTTGCTTAGCATAATACTCTCTGGCTCTGTCCACATTGTTGCCAATGGCAAGATTTCATTCTCTTTGATGACTGAGTAATATTCCATTGTATATATGTATACCACATCTTTTTTTTTAAAAAAAAGATTTTATTTATTGATTGATTAGAGACACAGAGAGAGAGGCAGAGACATAGGCAGAGGGAGAAGCAGGCTCCCCACAGGGAGCCTGATGCAGGACTCAATCCCAGGACCCCTGGATCATACCCTGAGCCCAAGGCAGACACTCAGCCGCTGAGCCACCTGTCCATTCATCAGTCGATGGACATTTGGGCTCTTTCCATAATTTGGCGGGGTATGTTGAGTTTCATAGGACTGTTTTCCTGTTCATTCTAGTTCAAGTTAATAAACATTTAATGAGTCCCTACTTGTAGGCTTTTTGCATGCAGAGGGGCTACAGAAATAAATGAGAAGGCAGCCAAGATAGTTCAGCTGAAGATAGTTCAGCTGGGAGAGCATTACACTGAAGATACAAAGGTCCTTGGAAGAATGAGATGCACTGTTGTAAGGAGACCAGGAGTATGGATAGGTTGTGGGATAGAAATGTAACACTCCTCTGCCACAATATGGTAAGTGCTAGACTAGAAGATAAATTGAGGAGGAGGTCAGGCCAAGTTAAAGGGAGAAGGTGATCTATAGAGCAGACAAAGATAATCACAGCTCATGCACAAACAAGGCTTCTGGCATAGGGAATGACCCCATTGTGTGTCCCTGGACAACAGTTGTATCTACTGTGTTCAAAGCATAAGAAATAGGAGTCAGGAGGGAGACTACAGGAAGTTGAGGTTGAAACCAGGTGTAAAGAGAACTACACGTGGCTTAAGGAGTTTGGGTTTCATTCTTTCAACACTGGGGAAACTTTAAGTCAGAAGATTGATATGATCATATAAGTTTTATAAATTCTAGTAGCATTATGGAGAATGATTAAGAATAATGTCTCTAAAACTAAAACTTTGATCACTCTTACCCATCTTTGCTGCTTCTGTCATACTTGGCTCTACTACTAGAATCATAAAACAGCCTAGTAGGAGGAAGAGGGCATAAGTGATGGATTGAATTTCTTATATACTTAATGGCTCTGAGTACCTGTGACTACCTTTTAGAGTTTTAAATTTCCTCCCTTATTAACAGATTATCATTTCACATTGATAATAGTGTGCTTGCCAAAGCAAACTCTTCTCCTTTTCAATATAGAGCTGGCTGAAAAATCCAAGTAAACAGCTGGGGGCTGACCATGATACAGTATGTGACTTTCAGTGATTTGACTTGGAGACATATATTTTGATCCTTAGATGACTTTTTTTCCTGGTTCTGGTCTTATTCTAGATCTTTATAACTGAACTATCCAACAACTTCATATAAGTGAAATATAACTGCAGCTTGTTTAAAAGATCATAATCACACATTTAAAAACATTTTTAAATTTATTTTAATATAGGTGATTGGAGTTGTGCTTCAAAAATTTCAGCAGTTCAACAGTATTTTATCTGCCAACAATAAGCTCTTTACTTGATTGCACCATGAGAAAGCTGCTAATGAAACTTGCTGAACACAAAAATGGACTTGAAGAACCAAAAGGCATTGTTTTCAAATGAAGAATACTGAACAATTTTAAGCCTTGATGCTTTTTAATCACCAGTGAGATTTTCCTCATAACATCAGAATGGCAAGCAGGCGAAAATCCACAACACCTTGCATGGTCCTTGCCAGTGAACAGGATCCAGACCTGGAGTTGATATCAGATTTGGATGAAGGTCCTCCTGTACTTACACCTGTAGAAAACACCAGAGCGGAGAGTATCTCAAGTGATGAAGAAGTTCATGAATCTGTGGATTCTGACAATCAACAAAATAAAAAAGTTGAAGGTGGCTATGAATGTAAATATTGTACTTTTCAAACCCCAGATCTAAATATGTTTACTTTTCATGTGGATTCAGAACATCCCAATGTAGTGCTAAATTCATCCTATGTTTGTGTCGAATGCAATTTTCTTACCAAAAGGTATGATGCACTTTCTGAGCATAATCTGAAATATCACCCAGGAGAAGAGAATTTTAAGTTGACTATGGTGAAACGAAATAACCAGACAATCTTTGAACAGACAATAAATGATCTGACTTTTGATGGTAGTTTTGTCAAAGAGGAGAATTCAGAGCAAGGTGAATCTACAGAAGTTTCTTCTTCAGGAATATCTATCAGTAAAACCCCAATCATGAAAATGATGAAAAATAAAGTGGAGAACAAACGGATCACAGTTCATCACAACTCAGTTGAGGACATTCCTGAAGACAAAGAGAATGAGATCAAACCAGACCGTGAAGAAACTGTGGAAAATCCAAGTTCCTCAGCCTCTGAATCTAATACAAGTACTTCCATTGTCAACAGAATACATCCAAATACTGCCAGCACAGTCATGACCCCAGCAGCAGTTCTTCCTGGGTTAGCACAGGTGATAACTGCTGTATCAGCTCAGCAGAATTCCAATTTGATTCCCAAAGTCTTAATCCCCGTTAATAGCATTCCTACCTACAATGCTGCATTGGATAACAACCCCTTGTTGCTTAACACCTACAACAAGTTCCCTTATCCCACGATGTCAGAAATTACTGTTCTTTCTGCTCAAGCAAAATACACAGAAGAACAGATCAAGATATGGTTTTCAGCCCAACGTTTAAAACATGGTGTTAGCTGGACTCCTGAGGAAGTAGAGGAGGCCAGAAGAAAACAATTCAATGGAACAGTACACACTGTACCTCAGACCATAACCGTTATTCCTACACACATTTCCACAGGGAGTAATGGTTTACCATCCATTTTACAGACATGCCAAATAGTTGGTCAGCCAGGACTGGTTCTTACACAAGTAGCTGGAACAAACCCCTTGCCAGTAACAGCACCTATAGCCTTGACAGTGGCAGGGGTTCCAAATCAAACAAATGTACAAAAAAGTCAGGCACCTGCTGCCCAGCCTATTGCAGAGACAAAGCCAGCAACAGCAGCAATCCCACCTTCTCAGCTTGTTAAACATGAAACCACAGGGGCAAACCCTGATTCATTTGGCATTCGAGCCAAAAAGACTAAAGAACAACTGGCCGAATTAAAAGTCAGCTACCTTAAAAATCAGTTTCCCCATGATTCAGAAATTATCAGACTTATGAAAATCACAGGCCTGACTAAAGGAGAGATTAAAAAATGGTTTAGTGACACAAGGTACAACCAGAGAAATTCGAAGAGTAATCAGTGCTTACATCTCAACAATGATTCCTCCACGACTATTATTATAGACTCCAGTGATGAAACCACAGAATCTCCAACTGTTGTTACTTCACAGCCTAAACAATCCTGGAATCCTTTTCCCGACTTCACTCCCCAGAAATTTAAAGAGAAGACTGCAGAACAGCTCCGTGCCCTTCAGGCAAGTTTTCTCAACAGCTCCATACTCACAGATGAAGAGTTAAATAGGTTAAGAGCTCAAACCAAACTTACCAGAAGGGAAATTGATGCTTGGTTTACAGAGAAGAAGAAATCAAAAGCTTTAAAGGAAGAGAAAATGGAAGTAGATGAAAATAATGCAGGTAGTTCCAAAGAAGAACCTGGAGAAACTTCTCCCAGAGATGAATCTGGTGCACCTAAGCCAGGAAATACGGGCAAGATCTGTAAAAAAACACCTGAGCAGTTGCACATGCTTAAGAGTGCATTTGTCCGAACCCAGTGGCCATCACCAGAAGAATATGACAAGTTGGCTGAAGAAAGCGGGCTTGCTAGAACAGACATCGTCAGTTGGTTTGGGGACACCCGTTATGCTTGGAAAAATGGAAACTTAAAATGGTACTACTACTATCAAAGCGCCAATTCGAGTAGTATGAATGGGCTGTCCTCCCTTAGGAAAAGGGGGAGGGGAAGACCCAAAGGAAGGGGAAGAGGAAGACCACGTGGGCGGCCGAGAGGAAGCAAGAGAATGAACAACTGGGACAGGGGGCCATCACTCATAAAATTTAAAACTGGAACTGCAATACTTAAGGATTATTACCTGAAGCACAAATTTCTTAATGAGCAAGACCTTGATGAGCTCGTGAACAAATCACATATGGGCTATGAGCAGGTCAGAGAGTGGTTTGCAGAAAGACAGAGGAGATCCGAGTTAGGTATGGAATTATTTGAGGAAAACGAGGAGGAAGATGAAGTGATCGATGATCAGGAAGAGGACGAAGAAGAAACAGATGATAGTGACACTTGGGAACCCCCACGACATGTGAAACGGAAGCTTTCTAAATCAGATGACTGAAATGTAAGTTTCTAATCTGAGTGTATATTCATCAACCATATACATTTAGAATAGTCACCTTATATCTGACGCCTTCACTCTTGACAGTTTTTTCTGAGATGGTTTTCCTTTTAGCTAATAAGAGGACTAAGGACCATGACTGTGGCCAAGAGACACGTGATTATTATGTGTAGTCTGATTATTATGATTGTTACATTTATTATGTAGAATTTAATGCTGCTATCATTTTTACATAAAATGTTTTTTTTTTTTCACTTTGTTTTAAGGGAAAGGTACCCATTCTCAGAGAAGGGAGACTAGACTGGTGTTGGAGTGGGGGGATTCACAAAATACTAAAGATAACTAAAATGTATTGTTTGCAACCCTCCTTCACTAAAGCTTCATTTTTTGCCTATTTAAGGGAAGAATTCAAAAACGAAAACTAAAGAGAAGGGGAAAAGTGTACCGAAGGACAAACTTACCACAGGGGCGAGGATTGCTCAGTTTTAGGAAACTAGGTGAAAATGGGTATCTTTTTTTATTTATTGTATTGCCCCCCAAACTATTAGGTTTTTAACTAGAGTTTAAAATGCTTTATGTGTTAAAATTATTCAGTAATTTTTCTGTTGAAAGCCAAAGGTCTATTTTAGGCTTTATGTAAATTCATATTTGCTTGGAGGGCATCTGTTTTTGAAAACTGTGATATAAATTATTTCTGTCTTAGAGATCAAAAGGTAAATAACAGATTTGATATTAAATTAACTCAGTTGCCTAAAGTGTCTTTTCATTCTTTGATAGAAAACAAACCTGCTACCAGAAGAAATGCTGTAATTGGTTAAAAATACATCTCTTGCTATAAAAGCGCAAGTAAACATGCTTTAAATCTGAAAGGTTTGGCATGTTCCTTAAATTTTAATTCCTTTATAGATTGAATTAAAATTTCACTGTAGCTGCAATCAGACACCTGATTTCGAGTTAGGACTTCAATTCTTAATACTTTTGGAATTTAATAGCATAGTTCTATTCTACTCTCTGTTTTGGAGTGTTCTAGGATAAAACTATACTCTGTTGAGTATAGAGTAAACCATATTCTATTGCGATTAATGCACTCGTCACAAAATGTTTGTATATGTCTGTCAGTAGTCCAAAAGCATCTTATTATCAGAGATTACTGCCGTGTTCTCAAACAGTAAAAAAGGAAACGAGGAATAGATCCTCATTATCGTATGAGCATGTTTACTTACCTCCTTAGCTGTTTGTATCCCTACCCCATCCTCTACTTTTATGCTCTATTATTCTGCGCAGTATTTCCTTGACTCCCCCATGTCTTCCTCACTGGTTTTATTTATTTTGTTGAACAGTTATTTATAGAGAGCTTAATATGTACCAGGCACTTTTCTTTTTGCTTAGCAGTCCTTTTCCAGACTTTCTTTTCATTAACATTTTTTTTCAAGCAGAAATATAGATGAAACTAAAGCATCTATTTTAGAGTAAATCTTACTCCAGGTTTTGAGCGTAATGTAAGTAACAGGAAGTTAAACAATGTTGTATAGCTTTATCCTGAAGTGCAGTTCTCCATTTCCTAATGTCAGAAATTTTCAGGACAGGCTTTCTTCTGACCCAGATGCATAAAATATTTTTACCAGGCTTTTTTTTTTTTTTTCTAAACACAATTCTCACTCGGCCAAGATTAAATCAACAAATGTGTTGCTGCAGTGAATTGTCCTTGTGGTTGTAGTAACTTCAGCAATGATTCTGTAGGGAGCTGCAATCTTCTAAAAATAACAGGAACTTTTTTGTACAGTTTTTGGCTTTGTGTGGATAATTCTCATGTTCTGTATTGACACTCTAATGGATACTATGATAAAAAAAATTCATACAAAGCCACAGTTTTCAAAAAATTATGTATGTTATTCATGCACTTTCATGGTACATATTCAGACATGCCTTTAAAAATATTCAAAAGTCTAAAATTTAAAAATGCATTAATTAGCAAGTTACTGTTGGCTTAACAAAATAATTTTTCATCTTATAAGAGGATTCATCTTAAGTTTCCTCTTAATAGTTATTTCTTCACTTAAATATGGTTCAGTTTACCAAAAATAAGTAACCAAAACTTCTCCAAAATAGTTATTGCAAAAGGTGAAATACATATATATCTTTTGCATAAGTGAGACTTGTATATAAATAGAAAAAAAATACAAGAGCCTTTAGATCTCAGTCTGTTTATTACAAATACTGACAGTGAGTATACACTTCCTACTAATAATTGTTTTTATAAATTTTAACATAAAGGTGAAAATGTCCATATGCAGAACCTATACATAGGAGTTGCACACAAAATCTACTTTATATAAAATGTATATAGCAAGTGATCTCAGTGTTTAATAAGCAAATACAAAGGATGTATTTTCATGGCTAATTTGTATAATTTTTGTTTCTAAAGTGGTAAACATTAAAATATGGGTTTTAAAAAAATTTTAGTTTTTTATTATGTTTTTCTTTTATAGCTGCCTAACGTTGGAGGAGAATCAATTCTTCAACGCAAGATGTCTGATTTACTGTGAATGGGCCCAATCTTTGATGACACTGAAAATGTTTTGGGGCATACACATTCTCAAAAAAATAGGATCCAATACCCAAAAGAAATGGAACTTAATGTTGTGCCAAAGTTAAACTACTGCATTTGGCGGAAGTTCTGCAATGTAAATAGAACACTAATTAAGCAACTTGTAAAAATTCGAATTTTAATATAGTACATTTTTATTCTGATATGATGGAGATGTTCTGATTCTTAGACGTTCTGAGGGGGTTTAATGACCACTAGAGCTTGTCCTCATATTTTGTCCAGCTTAATACTGTATGTCTAGTGAGATGGGCCTTATTGCCTGTATTCTTTGATATGTGATTAAGCTTATAGCTTTGAGTGACCAAACATTTTACAGAGTAAAAATTGTTAGAAACAGGAAGAGGAAAAACTTGATGTATTTCTATGTCTTATTTATCAGGCCCTGCACTGAGATTAAAATTTGTGCATGGGCTTATACAATTTCAACGTAAGTGAAAAAAGCAGCCTATTGACACATGTTGAAACAGTAAGATTTTGTGATATCATTGGCCCTTAATGATGGATCTTTAATTTAACACATTCATGGATACCACTATTATTCTGTAATACTCTGTTCATTTTTTTCATTAGAAGCTGAATTTGCTTTGTATTAACCTGAAGATAATCAATTCTGAAGAAGGAAAAGAAAAAGGCATAAGAATTTGGGTAGGGTGAAACTCTGAAATAATTATTTTACCAAAAATGTGAAGAAGAACCATTTAGTAAATATATACTTAATGTTTTCTTAACAATCATATAGAAATCAGAAATGTTTGTACAGGTATCAGATCAGAATTTTCAAGAATTCTCTTTCAGGGAAATTCTACTTTATGTAGCAATTTCAGTGAATAGAGAGAAAATTCTGAACTGATCATAATGAGTTAAAGGTTAGCTTTTCATTTATGAATCATGGGAGTGTTAACTGTTAACTCTTGCCATATCAGGAGACTGAAAGTTCATACTAACTTATAAACTTTGTAAAGACCGGTGCTGTTCATTCATGTTGAGAAGGACCCCCCCCCTTTTTTTTTTTTGTGACTTTAGGATCGTTTTTCAAAATGTGCTTTCTTCATAGAAAAAAAATGTTCAGTTTAATTAGCTCTGGATTTGAAAATGTTTTTCCGAATGACCGGATGTAGTGGGCTTGGCCAGTTTCTTTTGTCTAATTTAATGAATAATATTAAGCTCTTGTTTTTACCTAAATGTTTGTCAGCTAATGAAATGTTATGAAAAAGCCTTGAATATGCATGCTGCTTTCATTTTTATAAACTTTTTATTTTTTAACTATAGCTTTATTAGTAATTCCAAAATGCTGCAATTTAGCTGATTTCTTCACTCAGACAGCTGGCTTTGTGGGTGGCTTTTTCATACTACTGTTAACTTTTTTAAGAAGAAGCAATGTAAAGACTGTAACAATTTAATGCACTAAACTGTTCTTTCTTTTACACATTTAAAAACTTCTTAAAGCCCTCTGTATTATAATAATTAAATTGCTCCCTTTTTTAAACCATTGCTAATGTGGTCTGCGTTTTGTTTGACAATTTTCATATTTGAAATGTCAAGTATTAGAAATAAAGCCTTTGAATAATATATTTATATTATGTTTCCCCTGCTATATGTAAACTTTGTATAACCATAAATAACTAGTAGTAATTTCCCTCTCTGTCTCTTTTATAAACTTGACACTTCATTCTGCTCTGATGTTTGCTAGATTTTAAATATATTTATTTGACAGAGCAAAAGCCCTCTTTTCCGGGTTAATGATGTCCTTGAATACAGAATAAAAATTAGCAGTGATTAGTAGGTTTCAGTTATTTTTTTTCCATTTTATTAACTGAGTTTTTAAAAAAACTGTGGTAAAATACACATAACAAAATTTACCACTATAGCTGTTTTTAGGTGTGTGATTCAATGGCATTAATTATGTTCACAATGTTGGGCAACCATTACCACTATTAACAAAACGTTTTCATCATCCCAAACAGAAACTCCATAAACGTTAAGCATTCCCCCTCCCCCAAGCCCCTGGTAACCTTTAATCTACTATTCTATTTCTCTAAAATTGCCTATTTTTGATATTTCAAGTAAGTGGAATTATACAATACTTTTCCTTTTGTACTTGATTATCATCATGTTTTCAAGGTGCATTCATGTTGTAATATATATCAGTACTTTGTTCCTTTTTTTTTTTTTTTAAGTAGGCTCCATGCCCAGCGTGGAGCCCAATATGGGGCTTGAACTCATGAGATCTTGGTCTTGAACCCTGAGATCAAGACCTGAATCAAGATCAAGAGTTGGAGGCTTAACTGATTGAGCCACCCCAGGTACTTCTGATACTTTTTATGGCAGAATAATATTCCAGACTGTAGCTGTGTTTTGTTTGTTTGTTGTTTTATTTGAGTATAGTTGCCACACGATGTTACATTAGTTTCAAGTATACAACATAGTGATTGAACAATCCGATATATACATTTTATTTATTCTTCTGTTGATAGATGATAGACATTTGAGTTGTTTTTACCTTTTGGCCAGAAAAATGCTACAGTAAACATGGGCGTGTATAAGTATCCATTTAGAGTCTCTGTTTTCAGTTCTTTCAGGTATTTATCTAGGAGTGGAATTGCTGAATCAAATAGTAATTCTGTGTTTAAATTTTTGAGGAACCACCAAACTTTTCTACAGTGACAAAATGTCTTCCATAGTGTCTGTAACCATTTTACTCCAGTTTCTTTGTATCCTAGCCAACATTTTTTATTTTCAGTTTTAAAAAGTCATTGTTATTACTACTAGTATTACTATCCTAATAGGTATGAAGTGGTGTCTCATAGTTTTGATTTGCATTTCTCTAATGACTAATGATGTTCCACATCTTTTAGCTGTTTATTGACCATTTATAGATTTTCTTTGGAGAAGTAAGTGTGTGTTCAAGTCCTTTGCCCAAGTATAATTGGGTTGCTTTTTGTCGTTGAGTTTTAGGGGTTCTTTGTATATTCTGGATGGACACCTTTTTTTTTTATTTTTTTTATTTTTTTTTCTGGATGGACACCTTTAACAGATTATATGATTTGCAGATACAGTCAGTTCTCATTATCCACAGATTCTGTTTATGAAATTTGACTACTCACTAACATTTATTTGCAATGCCGAAATCAATATTCATGGCACTTTTGTGCTTATCCACACACGTGAATGGTGGCAAAACATTTGAATTGTCAAACTGCGTGTTCCCAGATGAAATTTAAAAAAAAAAAGTTATGCTTTGCCTCTTATTTCAACTCTCAGATTATAAAGAAACATCCCTTCTGTAGTCTGTTAGTGCCACTTTTAAAGTATTTTTGCGTCTTTTGTTGGTGATTTAGCTGTTTAAAATGACCCTAAGTGTAGTGCTGAAGGACTGTCTAGTGTTCATAAAGCAAGAAAGCTGTGAGGTGCCTTATGGAGAAAACACGTGTTAGACAAGCTTTATTCAGGCATGAGTTATGGTGCTGTCGGCTGAGAGTTCAATGTTAATGAATCAACAATGTATATTAAATAGGGTATCTTTAAACAGAAGAACACATAAAACAGGTTATGTATTAATCAGTTTATGAAAACGTTATGATCAAAAAACTCCCAGGATCTTAACCCTAGGAGAATTTGTTCAGTATTCACTAAATTAGTGACTCTATAGGACATAACTATTGAGAGGAACAAAAATTGACTATATTTTCTTCCTTCTGTGGATTGTATTTTCACTTTCTTGATAGTATCATTTGATCAAAAAATTTTCTACTGTGATAATGCTTAGTTTATCTATTTTTGTTATTGTTGTTATTTATGCTTTTGATGTCATATCTAAGAATCCATTTCCAAGGGGTGCCTGGCTGGCTCAGTTGGTAGATCATGAGACTTTTGATCTCTAGATTGAGTTCAAGCCCTGTATTGGGCCTACAAATTATTTAATAAGAAAAAAAGCCATTGCCAAATCCAAGGTCATAAAGATTTACCCCTATGTTTTCTTCTAAGAGTTTTATGGTTACAGCTCTTTTTTATGTTTTTTATTTTATTTTTTATGGTTACAGATCTTATATTTAGATCATTAATGCATTGTGAATAAATTTTTGTATATGGCGCGAGGTAAAAGTCCAACTTCATTCTTTAGTTTGTGGTAATCCAGTTATCCTAGTGCTATTTGTTGAAACAACTATCTTTCTCTTACTGAATGGATATAGCACCCTAGTCAAAAATCAGTTGCCTATATTTATGAAGGTTTATTTCTAGACTTTCACTTCTATTCCTTTGGTATATATACTTATCCTTTTGCCATTGCCACACTGTTTTGGTTATTTTAGTTTTATAGTAAGTTTTCACATCAGGAGTATGAGCCCTTAACTTTCTTCTTTTTCAAGATTATTTTGTATACTTGGGGTCCCTTGCAATTATATGTAAATTTGAGGATTGGCTTTTCCATTTCTGAAAAAAAGTTATTAGAAGTTTAAATTATGAACCATGGAAGCAGTTATGTTGAATCTTTAGATTGCTTTGGGTAGTATTGACATCTTAACAATATTCAGTATTCCTATCTATGAAGATGAGATGCCTTTCCACTTATTTAGGTCTTATTTCTTTCAGCAAGTTTTGTAGTTTTCAGTGGATAAGTCTTTCACCTCCTTGGTTACATGTTATTCATAGATATTCTTTAGATGCTATTGTTATTGGAATTGCTGTCTTAATTTGTTCTTCAGATTGTTTATTGTACAGAAGCAACTAATTTTTGTTTGTTGATCTCATAACCTCCAATTTTGCTGGATTAACTTATTAGCTCTAGTAGTTTTCTTGTGGATTCTTTAGGATTTTCTAATGTAGGATCATGCCCTCCTTAAATAGAT